ACGCCAGCCGAATAAATCGTTTGAATTTGACTGCCAAATGTTATATCAACGGATATTACATTCAAATCACCTCATGCAGTCACTGAGTGGAACTCGAAAGCTTTCCAGTATATTTGCTTGACATGTGGAGTTGCTACACAACAAAAAGAGTAAGGTTAAGCCATCCAAAACGATCCAATGGCGGAAATATAAACCCTTTGTTCTTCCAAGCTGTTCCGAGCTGCTTTCGATGTAAGGTAGTCATTTAAGTTCAGCTATTCATTTGAACAGTTCGGTGTGTTACTTTCGCAGCTGAAAACCATTTAGTTTGAAAACATTCAATGCATGACTAAAACACCCTACCTTCAAAATGAAACGCAGCAAAGTACCAAGGTAATCTGTTGGGTGAATGTGAAGTCATTTGTGACGGCTGGCCGCTACCTGTTCATTCTAGACTTTCTAAAAAAAGTCACTCATTATTCAACGGAGAGAATGGGAGATAAAACTGCCAATTGTCACAAATAAATCTACATTACTTTGCAAGGCGAACTATTTTCTACGCAAAATATACTTTGAATTATATCGCCAGGTTCAGGCATTCGGAATTTTAGTAGTCAACTAGTAGTCAATTTTAGTAACCCAACGTAAGCTCTTGTCACGCAATACTTTTTGTCCCAAGGGGAAGGAAGTGGTGCGGTGACCGTTGGGTCGAGAGTTCTGAATGCGCATAGGAAGATGATTTCCCTTTCGTTTTGTTTTGTTTTTTGGATCAATGTACGACATCTTGTGGGAGCGAACGTATTTACGAACAAAGTTATTTGAAGCGGACATTTTACAGCTAACAATTCATTTTTTTCCGTTTGAGGTTACGAGGAAAATTTTTTAAGTTCACTGTTTTTACGTCTAACCGTTAAATTTTGTCAAGTTTACGTGTAAAGGCTTAACAAATTTATGCCGTTTTACGGCTAATAGTTGACCCCATTGAGAGCCTCTTACCTCAAGATTGTAGTCATGTTAGTCTTAGACAGATAGAAGGGGCGTGTGATCGCAGATTATTTTTTCTAGGGCTACCCTCAATACACAGTCCGCTATTATTACAGCATTCCAAATGCAACAGAGTCTCGTTTGAATGAGTGACAAAATGCTGGGGGTTATTTCGCTTGGGATTTGATGAAAAGTTGAGCCAGAACTGAAATGCATCTTCCATGGTGTTTCACCAAAATACAATTTGCGACAACTACAAGGTTAAATGAGGAGTTAACAGCAGATCTGACCCTTGGAAAAGCATCTTCCCCAATATGCAATGTCTTAAGTAACTTCTGCTCTGTATTTGAACAGAATTTACTCTTGGCATGGTAAACTACTTTTGGTAAAAGTAGTTTAAAGCTTGAGCCACATCCAGAGCAATAACAAATATTTCGGTCTTGGAGCTGTGACTCCAATTTATCCTCAAGAATCGCAACTTGTTGCCTTAAATCAGCACTTCTATTTATCTCTCTGCAAATTGTCATTGAACATTGAACACACCTATCTCTGTAAATTTTCCTTTTCCTCTAACTGCTGCTGCAACTCCTCAAGATGCGTTCGTAAATTTTCTTCTCGTTCTTCTTTCTCTGTGCACTCCAGCTCCTTTCTACTCAACTTTCTTTGAAATTTTAATACTTGCTGGGTTCTTTCAATAAGCTGTTCACGAAACCATGCTTCTCTCGTTTCAGTTTCCTCTATTTTTTCTCTCCACCTTTGCTTTCGTTCTTCTTTCTCTGTCAACTGTTTCTACAAGCTCTCTATTTGTTGGCCTTTATCTTTGAGCCGTATTTTAAACGCAGTTTCTTCCTCTTTCAGTCGTCGTTCCATCTCTTTAAGCTGCATCTGGAAAATTTCCTCTCGTTCTTCTTCCTTTTTTTAATGCAACTGTTGTCCCGTCTCCTGCAGTTTTTCTTGAATGTCCTCTATTTGCTGATCTCTTTCTCGCAGCTGTTTATGCAGGTAACTTTCTTTCGACTCCTTGTGCGTCATTTCGTTTTGCAACTGTTGCTCCATCTCTTTCAGATCTCTTTGTAAAAGTTCTTCTCGATTGTCTTTCTCTCCCAGCTGCCGCTCCAGCTTCCGCAGTTGTATCTAAAGGTTTGCTATTTACTGGTCCCTTTCTTCGAGCTGTTGATGCAACTCATTTTCTCCTGCCTCCTTTTATTTCTTAACTTATGATTCACCTCTTATTCAAGTCTGTTTGTAAGGTTTCTAATCGTTCCTCTCTTTCTGAACAGTGTTGATTCGTCTCCCTCAGTTGCTTGTGAAGAGTAGTCACACGCCGGTCCCTTTCCTCGAGCTGTCGGAGTAACGCACTTACTGTCGATTCTATTTCCGTTTGACTGCTTATCCTTGCTCCATTTCTCTCAAGTCTGTTCGTAACATTCTTCCCCTACTTCCTTCTGTTTAGGCTCCTTTTCTTGGTTCTTTTTCTCTTTTCTTTTTATGGATGTGTTCGGCTGATTTTCTACCAGTCCTATTTCCGCCGACTGCACAGCTGAATAGAAAGTAAGTAAAGTATTTCTCTTGCAGTCACGTCTTCTCTCAAGGATTGCTCCATCGCGCAAACCTAAGTGCCACTTCTTATGAATTTTGTTCACTTTTTCTTCTCCGGCGGGCTGGCTTTGTTTCAGAATTCTTAAGAAGTGCCTGCGAACGTCTTTGTTTCTGTCTCTAATGTCAGAATCTGTCCAAGGCTTTAATCTATCCAGTGCAACGGAAACTGTTCTAGAGTTT